TTTTTTGTGAAAGCCTTACATAAGGCCTTCGCGGAAACTTTTTGCCGCTGCGGAGGAAGCCGGGCTTGTCGAGCGGAACGATGACCGCCGCTCCGCTACGGTCGCCGCGAGCGAAGCGAGCGGCGACCCCTTACTTCGATGAATTCTTTTGAAAAGAACTAATCCTTACCTCGATGAGTTCTTTTGGGGGATGTTTTCCATAAATAATTATTTTGATTATTTTTTCCCTTTTCTAGGTACTCTTTGAATCCGCACACGATCAATATCTCGTGGACTCATTGCCTGAACTTGTTGAATGTGAGGAACGCTTCTGAAGTGCAAAAACAATCGAAAATGTGGATATGCTTATCGAGGTTTTTTTGTAACTTTTTGGAAACAAGAAAACAGGCGAGGGGTAAGTCCGACTTCTTTCAATCAAAATGATTTTTCTCATCCAATACTCGAATTCTGATTTTTAAAAGGAGCCTCCATTTTTTCAGAAATGATGGAGATTTTCTATTAGCTTTCTAAAAAGTTAGTTATAATTTTAAGTTTCTTGATGCTCGCGATCTTATTGTAAGTCGCAACTCCAGAATAGACCATTTTTTAACTGAGGAAGGAAAAAGGAGACCTTTAATCCTTTAATTTAAAACCCTCTTATATTAATTAATTTTAAAATATAATAACCATTTTGCGCAGATATTATGAAAGATGGTAATATGAAACGTTCCGATATAAAGTAATGAGTAAGGGGTCGCCGCTCGCTTCACTCGTGGCGACCGTATCTTACAGTTATTACTGTAAGATAAAAAATTATTACTGTTTTTTAATAAGGTTTTAAGCGAAAATGGGTCGATGAAGTCGGCATTTCTATAATTGCACACCAAGCATCTTCGAAGACGCTTCGGCCTAACGTGCGGAGCTCCGGCCTAAGGTGGCGAGCTCCGGCTGAGGTGTTGATCTCTGGCCTAAGGTGGGTGTAATCATATATAAAATATAATCTTTTATAAAATTAGCACTGATCTTTAGGCCATTATTATATCTGGAGATATTGTTTACGAAAAAATTCTTCAAGTGATAGGAGGTGCTAATGATTTATATCTTGAAAACATAAATAATGAATTTATTGAACCATTTCAAACCCGGACACCGACAATAGACGATGAAACAATTTCGGAGGTTTCATTCTCATTCAAAGCTTCCCACCTACGGTGTGAAGCTTCGGCCTAAGGTGCGGAGCTCCGGTTTAAGGTGGCGAGCTCAAAATAGAAGGGGGTGACATATCCATAAAGTACCAAGTTGGGTTAAAAGCTTTGTTTTTTTAAAGTTTTGGTTAAAAGCTTCGCAAAAGCTTGCGTTAAAAGCTTGTGCTTTAAAATAAAAAGAAGTACTCTTACGGAAATTTAAATAATAAATAAATAAACAATCAAATATAATATTCCAAACAGGAAGAAAAATAAAGATTGGTTTTGAAAAAATGAAGAAGATAATTAAAATTTAAAAAGAAGTTGTTTGTTACTTTAAAAAAAGGAAAAAAGGGTCAAACAAAAATTATTTGGTCTGAATGAAAATAAGACTGGAATTATAAGTAGGAATTAAAATAAATAAAAGATATTAATAAACGATATTAAAAATGCTACGCTGTATCTTTTAATAAAATAAAAATGCCATTTTTATTTTTTTAAATATCTTTTAATAAAATGCCATACAGTGTGGCATTTATTAAAAGATATTAAAAAATAAAAATGGCATTTTTCTTTTTTTAAATATCTTTTAATAAAATGCCACACTGTATGACATTTTTATGGCATTTTTATTTAAAAAATTAAAGTAAAAATACCACATTGTATCTAATTTTTTTAATATCTAATTTTTTAAATTTCTTTTTTATTTCGATTAATTTTTAAAAATATATTTTTGCTTTTCTTTATTTTCCCTAAAATTATGTCGCCAGTAAAGAAAGAATTGCAGGGTAGTGGTATTGGAAGTAGTGGCAGTTCAACCAGTAATTTTGCTTCTTCGAGTAAAACAAACAATAATAAAGGTCTTGATGTTGTAAGGTGCATGCGTGGAGTTGGAATATATGGGAGAAAAGCTTAAAACAGTGGACCGTTTTGATTGGGAGAATGACCCTCATGCTTTCATTTCTCAAGCTATTATTAAACATCATAAGTTGTAAACATCATCAACAGAAATCCATCATATTGACGGTGATGGTAAAAACTGATCCATATTCGCGATATAATGCACAAAAAGTAAGAAGACGATGTTAGTGTGATAATTTACAACTCAACAAGATTCAAGCTTATGGTTGTGTTGGAATACAAAAGAAATCCATCATATTGACGGTGATTGGTAACAAATGCTGCCACCTATCATGATCAACAACTTATACCCTCGAAACCGCAGGATTTAATGGATCTCTTCAGTTACTTCCAGTTTTTATGGATTATCTGCTTTCACCAAACTAATTATTTGGGAAACTTAATAATCGCATTCTTTAAAACGTTGAGAATCTATCGTCTTTTAGGTAATGTTTGTATCTGAAAATATTGAAAATGCAAAAATTCTCCATGTGATAGGAAATGCTGAAGAATTATATTTTAAAGGAATCCCTTAAGGATTTATTAAACCATTTCATTATCGTGCAAAGACAGTATCAATAGATCATATTGACAGTGATGGTAAAGATGACGGTGTCTTATACAGAGAAATGCAATCCATTGAAATGGAATCAAAAGAAATTATAAATTGAAACCGCAAACAACTTTTTTATCAAGCTGATTCTAGCTACGCTGTTGAAACGGGTTGACTTTTAAAAGAGATTTGGGAAGACTACTTTAGAAACAACATATTTATAAAATTCGTATTTATAAAAATTTCCAACCTAAAGAATATTAATAAAATATTCCAACCTAAAGAAAAAATACAAAATAAACTTAAAGAATATTAATAAATATTCCAACCTAAAGAAAAAATACAAAATAAAATAGTGTAAAAAACCGCCTTGCCAAACACTGGTCGGCAGCTATAGAACTTGTGAGAATAAATATGGACATCCACATATTTATAAAATTTTTATTTATAAAAATTTCCAACCTAAAGAATATTAATAAAATATTCCAACCTAAAGAAAAAAATACAAAATAAACTTAAAGAATATTTATAAAATATTCCAACCTAGAGAAAAAATACAAAATAATATAATATTCCAACCTAAAGAAAAATTTACAAAATAAAATAGTGTAAAAAACCGCCTTGCCAAACACTGGTCGGCAGCTATAGAACTTGTGAGAATAAATATGGCCATCCAACATATTTATAAAATTCGTATTTATAAAAATTTCCAACCTAAAGACTAACGGAATAGAACTATTATCTAACGAAGTATTATCTTATATACTTTCAAACCACTATTCTATTACTACTTCTATTTATGGAGTCGATACTGGAAGACGTTTAGAAGATTTTCAAACCCGGGCACCGACAATAGACGATAAAAAAATTGCGAAGGTTTCATCCCCATCCAATGACAATCTTGTTAAGTTTTAATAAAAGGACTTAAGAGTGATGTAAAGTTTTTAGGACCATCAATATAACACCTCTCTCTTAATCTTGTTTAGTCCAAAACAGGTTCAAGTTGTCTTGTTAAGTTCGATGCGAAATAATGGCTTTTTTACATCATTACGATTTGGAATAAAAAAAATTTTATATTTCGGCAAGACCTGGTATCGGGAGTGTCTAAATATAATCACGACTTGAAAATCTCGAACGCTATATTTGACCCCACAGGCGGAACAGATCCGACTCTACTCTAATTTTAGTATAGGAAATCTAACTTTTCATTGATATACGAAATTCATATTTAAATTTTAGGTCTTGTTGAGCTTTCATGGATTGGCCCTCCAGGCACAGATGTTCTTCAAAATAGGGCTTTTCATTTGCTATTTGAATATTTGACAGAGACATCATTGAAGCAAGATTTTATTTTAAATTAACAGTTGTCCACTTCTGCGGAAATTTTTTTGAATGAGCAAACAGACGGTGAAATAATAGCACGATTTTCAGGAGTAAAATAATTTCTAATTCCTTCCGCCGCGTGAGGTCCGAGTACAAATTTTTATTTTTCAGAGAAATTCCCACCTACGGTGGGAAGCTTCGGCTTAAGGTGCGGAGCTCCGGACTAGGTGGAATATCTTGAAAACATAAATAATGAATTTATTAAACCATTTCAAACCCGGGCAATTTTGGAGGTTTCATTCTCATTCAAAGCTTCCCACCTATGGTGGGAAGCTTCGGCCTAAGGTGCGGAGTTCCGGTTTAAGGTGGCGAGCTCCGGCTAAGGTGTCCAAGCTTGATTGGTTACATCAAGAACTTTTCGTTTTAATTTGGAGAATAACCCTCATGCTTTGATTTCTGACGCAATTATCAAACATCATGTATTTTTCAATGGTAACTCTGCATATAAGGAATACAAGATTTAGAATATCGTCTGGACGAGGTAGTTTATGTTAGATTCAAATTTTTTGAAATTCTGAAGTAAACAATCAATAAATTATAAAGAGTAAACTTTTATTAATGTTTAAAAATTCTCTATCAGATTGATGGTTCTCACCAGAGCTTAAATTTAAATAGTTATCCCATAAATAATGTGTCCTAAACATTTCTTGTCACCTTGTAATTAACAAAAAACTATTAAGATTGTCGGAGGCGTCGGGTTTAATTTTATTTTAGGAGGGTTTGAACAAAAAAGTTAGGATCGGGGCTATTCGTGACTGGATCCAGCCTTATTCAAAGATAAAACTCAATGGACTTAATTTCAGGAAATACGGTGTAATTAACAAAAATTCAAAAAGAAATACTGAGATTTTAATCTTATATAAAATGTAATCTTATATATAATTATCACTGATCTTTAGGTCATTATTATATCTGGAGATATTGATTACGAAAAAATTCTTCGAGTGATAGGAAGTGCTGAGGATTTATATCTTGAAAACATAAATAATGAACATAAACAACCGAAATTCATCACATAGAAGGTAGTGGTAACGATGGCGGTGTTTTATACCGGGAAATGCAGTTAAATGAAATGGATATGAATGACATTGTCAATAGAAAACGAAAAGAAGTGCTTTATAACGACGAATCTTCTATTTATGGAGTCGATACTGGAAGACGTTTAGAAGATTTTCAAACCCGGGCACCGACAATAGACGATGAATAATAGGCACAGCCTATTATTTCATCATTTTTACCCAAACTTTCTAAATAATTTTTTGCCCATCGGCCAAAAACCAAGGTCGATTGGACCCTTTAAAAGCCCCTCCCATAACCCCCAAAATATTGTCTTCTCCAATTCATTCTCCAATAACAGCTTCAAATAAAAAGCCTTCTAACCCTTTCACAGCAACTGTTAATTTTAAATTGAAATAAAAACAAACCTTTATATTATTTATGAATATGTAGACAAAATTACAAAAATATTTATCTCAAATTTTATTAACACAATTTTAATAGATTCTTCAATAAAACACTTAATAATATACTTGCTTTTATTGACATGAAAAAAATTAAACAAATTGTTAATCAAAATATAAGAACATTCCGTTTTGATTGGGAGAATGACCCTCATGCTTTCATTTCTCAATCTATTATTAAACATCATAAGTTGTAAAATCATCAACAGAAATCCATCATATTGACGGTGATGGTAAAAACATCCATATTCGCGATATACAGTGGCGGAAATTTAGTTAAGAAAAAATTTTATTAGTAATATTTTTGAAAAAATTTTTTCATACGTAAAGTTGGAATCCAAATCTTCATATAATTTTGTAGCTCTATTTATTCGCTATCATATGACCACTCATTTATTAAATAAGAGTTAATGATTAGGCAAGCAAAATTCAATTTTCTAAAGAGTCAAAAATTGCGCGGAAATTTAGTTAAGAAAAAATATCAGACTTTTATTTTTCAAAGTTCCAACATTCGGAAAAATCCATAAAAATTCAAACAAATATATATAATAATATTATAAACAAATAAAAAAATTAGGCCCATATCTCTACTCCGTGTCAAGATCCGCTTCAAAAACGTCTAAAATCAACGTAAAACGCAGGTAGGTCTTTTTAAAAAATATTTTGACCCCTTACAGGTAAAATAAAAATTTGATTTTAGTCTCATTCGAAAGCCCTTAAAATTTGCTACAAGATAGCCGAATCGAATTTTTCAGAAAAAAAATTTTTTAGAGAGATACGGACTGCTAATTCAACGAAGCAACGAAATACGCTTAAGTTACCCCATAAAATGGACTTTACTACTGCTTCTACTGCTTCGTACTGCTTCGTCAAAATCATTCAAAATACTCGATAAACTGCTCATTATTTTTATAAATTCATTTTATCCCGCCTCCTATAAAAATTTTTACACATATGACCAAAACAAGGTCTTTCGATAAGGGGTCGAAAATATTTCTTGAAGTATTGCACCCCGATTTTCTGTTTATTTTTGAGATTTGATATTTCGATGAAGAAAGATGCTACAGACTTCGTTCTTTATACTTTTCTACTCAGTATCATGTAAATGTTAATAGGAATTTTTATATAATTTATGGAAGAACGAAAATTGATACTTTTAATTTTAAATAGTTTGAGTCAAGAATTTTCTTGGGCACCTTCAAATCTTTGTAAAAGTGAGTTTATTATTATACCTCTATCTTTTTTTATTTTTATTGTTTTGTTTTTTATTCCTTTACTTCTCTACTGCGATTTTTATGTATTTATTTTTAAAAAATAATGATAAATCTATCGTAATTTTTTAAAATTGTCGGGGACTATATGATTTTTATTTTTTTGTCAAATTTAAATTCGAGTTTAATGGGAAAAAATATTTTTATACAAGTTAGGCTTTGTTAATTACAAAAAATTACCAAAAAATTCCTTGGTACTTTTGCATTTTAGGTCCACAAATTGAGTGCCACCGACTTTGATCGGCTATAGTTTTTTGGGATTGATCCAATTTAAATGAATTTTATATCATTCGAAAGAAAATATTAATTGATTTTTGCGTTTTTAAAACATTTTAAATGAATTTATTTAAATGAAGTTTGGTTTTTGACCATTTCGAGCCCATATAATTTACAATTACTTAGCTCGGAAAGCTCTAGAATGACATATATTTTGTCACTATTTAGGATACCGTATATGCTCGAATAATTACTCTCTCAAATAGTTGCCCCTCTTATTATCCCTTCCAGCGAAAGGTTTTCTTAAATAGCTACTTAAGTGAGATAAAAGTGCAAATTTTTATTCTCTTTTCAAAGCCAAAAAATTTTTTTTTGTTCTCTAATTTTTAAACTAGTAGAAAAAATCCTTTTTTCACGTGAAGATTTATTTATCAGATATACACTTTTATATTGATATTTTTATATATCTCTCCAGCCGTTTTATAAATAAAAAGCTAGTAGTCACATGAAATAAAAAAAGAAAAGAAGCAGCTGTAAAAAGTGCGTTCCTTTTATTTTTTGTCTAAAAAATTTTTTTAATTTTCTTTCCCGTTTTTAATTTCAATTTTGAAGAATGTATAGGCTTTTATTTTAAATTTTGTTCCTTTGTTCAAATTTATGAGATTAAAATTTAATTTTGAAAAAAGACGGTAAAAATAGGAGGACAACTTACTGAATCAGTGAAAAAAGACAATTCACCGAAAATATATTTTGTTGTGTTATTTTGCTAAAAATTTGTATATTTTTGGGTCAAAACTTAAATTACAAGAATTGAATTGTGGTTTCTTTTGAATATTTTTCCGTTTCTATGTGGAATTCTCTTCCGTGGGGAAAGAGCTAAAGGAGACAACCATGTGCCATTAGTCGGTGACTTGTCTTTTTAGTCGGCGAATTGTCTTTTTAGTCGGTGAATTGTCTTTTACTCGGTGAATTTGTCGGTGAATTGTCTTTTCGGTGAATTTGTCGGTGAATTGTCTTTTCGGTGAATTTCTCTGTGAATAGTTCCATTTTCGACGAATTTCATGAACACTAAAAATACGACCTATTTTTTCTATTTATTTTTCTTTTTTGTGTTCTCTCTCGAGAAAAGATACCAATAAATAAATGCATGTGTTTATGGGGTGTTGACATGTGACCTTTAATATTGATTCAAGCGAAAACGTAAAAAGGAAGGAAGCCTTGGAGGGTGGTCTTTAAAGTAAAAAAAAGGAAGGAAGAAAAAATTCTTTGACTGTCGATCATTTTATGTTTTGCCCCATTTTTCTCTAATCAGTTGTTGTTGATCAATTTTTATTTTTTTATTGTTTACCGTGTTTGTTTATTAGTCATTTATTTTTGTTTATCTTCTTTGCTCCCTTCATATTACCGCAAGAAAAAAATTTTTTTTGTTGTGTGTGCAGTTTATTTTTTTATTTTTAATTTTAATTAGAGTTGCCATGCCTGGTTCGATTCGATAGATCAATCGGGCAGCGAATTCTGGCCCGGAAAAGACTAGACCGGACTCAAACGTCGGCCCGGTTCGAAAACGGCAACCCTAATTTTAATCAGATTAATTTTTTTCAATTTTTAAAAGTTTGAATTTTAACTTTTTCCTTGTCTTTCTTTTCACGTTTTTTTGTTCGAAGGAAATATTTTTTTTAAAGAAAATATTTATTTTTATTTTTCACTTTGACAAAGTTAAACATTTTCGGCGTTTTGACATTTTTAAAGTTGATATTTTGTAATATTTCATTGCTTAAAAAATCGAAATGTCTATTTTTTTGTATTTAAGCCTTAAGGGGCAGATTGTTTCAATTTTTGATTTTTTCCTTTTTAATTAACCAAAGCTAACCTGAAATTTTAAATCCTTAAGCTCGGAAAGGTTATCCGGTAGACTGTTTATCCCAACCAAAGGTCGGCAAAATCGCATCCCCGGAACGCGATTTTTTCAACATTTTGTACGGGACGGAATCCCGCGGGATTAATCCCGTAAATCCTGGTAATCCCGTTTGTCGATATAAACTCGGGATTCCGGGACGTGATCCCGTAAAATCCCGTACGGGGTCCTGTGCCGAGCTCTTGTCCTATTCGATTTTTTAAACGCCAATTTTCAGACCCAACTTTTTTTACTATTTAAGTAGATCAAAAATTAGTTTCTTACCTTCATTATTAGAAGTCTCTCAATTATTCTCTCCCTCCATCGCTGTCAAAGTATTCAAAATGCGTAATCGTGTGGGTCTACTTACAACATCTGCTACAGCTTCCATAAATGTAAATAAATTCCTTCCTCGTTCAATGGCCACTATCAGCAAGAATGCAACTTCCAAGAAGGATTTTGTTGGCGCTCCGTGGCTGCAGCAACGGCAATTGGTCAGTGCTCTAAATCAGGTTAAACGATTGGTTTTTACCTTCTCTTTAGTTGGGGTTTGGGTTAGATGACTTGGTTGGGTTGTTGGGTCGATCCTTTAGTGTTAGTGTCGAAAACTTGGGGTCGGGGTTTTTTTGGCTTTTGAAGGCTTGCGAGATAGTGGTCCCAGTCTAGAATAAACTTAACCTTGTAAGAATTGGTAACCGTATGGGGGACCACTTAATCCCCATTTTTCTCGGGCTCCGATTCATTCCATTTTTAGCAGTTCCACTCCTCTGCCAATTTGCTAAAGGATGATGACAACAACAAAGGAAATAGTGGAGATGGCTTTGTTTTGTTGGATGGGGATAATCTTGGAGGAATGTTTGCGTCTGAATTGCCACCAAAGTCTGCTAGAGGAGGATTGCCAAAATGTACAAAATGTGGAAGGCCTTTGAGAAGTTTGAGGAATACAGTCAATAGTTTTGTTTTAAGTTTTTTATTTAGGGGATTAGGAATCCTAATATTTGGGTTGAGGGCGAGGCTGATAAATAATAAGGGTCAGATAAGGGCACATAGGATTTGGGTTATGGTTGAGGCTGAGGGTTCTTAGAATTGTGTTTTCTCTGATAAGGGCTTCTTTTACTTCTTTGATGCCCAGGTATGTAGGCATTCTCATGGCAGACTCGAGGATTGCGTCGGTTTATGTTGAGAAGAGCGAGGAGTTCCGGGCCGGGTTTTTGGACATTTTTTGGTCGGGCTTATTTGGGTAAAACAGTCCGCTTTGTGTTTTGGGTAGCCTAACCATCACGTGTTGATTGTAAGCTGTGGGTTGAAGTTTAGGTTCGTTTTAAAATCTCCTTTTACTTGGTATAGAGAACTGGGAGGTTTTTCATTATAGTTGTTGGAGGGTGTATTTCTAAGATATTTTATTTATACTAGGGCAAGGGCATAACTAGTGAGTCTATTTCAATGGGACTAAAATTGGGTAGAAGCCCCCTGGCTACGCCCTTGTACTTGGCGTATTCTCTTTAAAAATTAATCATTCCATTTTTTAAGTCAACAACAATCTATATGAATGTACAGACTGCAATATCTTCTACAGCCGTAGAGTCGGAGGTGGTGGTTCTTCTGCAGATCAAACCTATCAAAGCTTGTTACGATCTCTTCAATCTTTTGGCCCTCCTCAAACACCAAAAGAGATCACTGCGTACCTAGACAATTTTGTTGTTGGCCAGGATGCGGCGAAGAGGGCGCTTTCTTTGGGAGTCTACGAACATTACATGTATTTTTTGATTTTAAACATTTTTGAAAAATTTTTTTAAAGTCGTGTTTGGTCAAATGAACAGCTTCAATATGTTTCTTCTCGAAAGACTACAGAAATGCAACAATCTACTGCTGCATTTCAACATGGCTTGATCAGTAGACAAAACTCTAATATTGCACATCTTCAAACTTCGTTCAGCCCAGACGGTTTTCTTTCATTTTTTTGATGGGGAAGTGGGTATAGATTGGAGAGAAAGGAGGACATAAATATAGTATTTTAAAGTTTTGGGCTTGGGATAAAAATAATATTTTTCGATTGGGAGTAGGGTTGGGGTTCTCAAGCCTGGCCGAGTTCGAGTAATTTTTTCCGGCCGGCCCGACCAAGTTTCACTAAATTCATTGCCCGACTCGATCTTTCGGATCGGGCTCTTAACCCTAATTGGGAGGCAATCAGGTCTAGCTTTGTTTTTTTGAGGCACTCATTAACTTACAGCTAGAAGCTATACAAAATCTTTACCAATCCCCCTCCACATGTAAGCCCCTCCATATGTAAACACTAGGGTTGTCAGTTGGGTTCTTTAGTTCGGTTCTGGATATTTGAAGATTTTCCACAAACCGACGACCCTATTTTTGACGATTCGTTCATCTAATTTCTTAAGAAATAAAATTTTCTTTGTTTAGTTATGGTTCGTTTCCAAGGAGCATCGCAAGGACGTTCAATGTCTCAACCACCATATTCTAAAAGTAAAAGTAAAGTTTATTTTTAACAGTCCTAAGAAAAATTTTTTTAAGAAAAGAATGTTTCTTCATTCACCAATTTGGCTGGAATTACTAAAGAAGATCAAATTCATCTAGATAAGGCCAATATAATGCTTCTTGGACCGTCTGGTGTTGGTATGAGATTTTACAAGTTTTTGGAGTAATTTTAAAATGTTTTTTTCTTAAAGGGAAAACCTATATTGTGAAAGTTCTTGCCAAAATTTTGGATGTTCCTTTGGCTCATTGTGATTGGTATATTTTTATTTAAAAATTGAATATATTTTTTAAGTCTTCTCTTGACTTTATTAGAAATCTTACCGGAAGGGCCCCAACCCTAATCTTATTAAGAGATAATGATTTGGGCCTTTAATAAAGCAGATCGGACCATGGCGTCTTCCTCATATTCTGTCAATAAGGCTAACAATAAGATCCAGGGATGGGATGTCTTCCGATTTCCTCAGAATTTTGCTTTTTTGATCCTTTTGAGTTATGGGGGAGAGTCCATCCATCCCTCAAACTCATGTTTTGCCAATGAGGCTGAACTGGGGTTCTTATCGTTAGCCTTGTTGGCTGAATATCGGTTTGACAAGATAGGGGGACTCAAGACGGCCCAATATGACTAAAAATCAATCATTTGTCAACTATAGTGGCTTAACGTGTGGGTTCTGTCTGTGGTTTAGGTTTGTGGGTTTTGGCAGAATATGTGGGTACGAACCCTAAATATATTAATTTAGCACCAGTTCAACTCTTAATTTTCTTTTTTATTTTTTTTCTAGCACTTCAATGACACAAGCAGGATATGTAGGAGAAGATGTTGAATCAGTATTACAAAAATTATTGCAAGAGGCTGATGGTGATGTAAATAGAGCACAAAGAGGAATTGTATTTTTGGATGAAGTTGACAAAATTGCAGCAACTCGTGATGTTGCTAGTCATGCATATCGAGATGTTAGTGGTGAAGGTGTTCAACATGCAATGCTGAAAATGGTTGAAGGTTTTGATTTTTCGAGAAAAAAAATTTTTTGGAACTTTTCCGTTAATCGACCGCAAACTGAGTGAGTACCAGCAGACTTTGAACAGCTATAACTTTTTGATTATTGATTCAATACGAACGAATTTTATATCATTCGGAAGCCCTCAATAATCTCTATCTTTTACCCAACTGTATGGATCAGCTCTGATAACTCAAAAAAAGTTATAACCCGATAATAATGAAAAACAACGATTTCTTGCACTTTTTGACTTGTAACTTTTTTATTAGAGATCAGAGCTGATCCATACATTGGGTAAAAGGTAGAGCTTATCGATGGCTTTCGAATGATATAAAATTCATTTGTATTGGATCAGGCATTAAATAGTTATAGCTGTTCAAAGTTGGTTGGTACTCAAATTGCGGTCGATTAATGGAAAAGTGCTGAAAAAAGTTTTTTTTAATTTTTTGAATGGAATTTTTGTTTTCAGGTTCTGTGATATCTGTCAAAAATGGTCGGAAAGGACAACAGGTTCTAATAATTTTTTGAGTTTTCTTAAATTAAAATTTTTTTGTTTTTTGAGGACACTGTTCCAATGGATACAACCGATATTCTTTTCATTGCTTCTGGTGCATTTACCGGACTTGAAAAGTTGATAAGCAGGCGATTAGACAAACATATGCTTGGATTTGGTATTTTTTTTTAGAAAAAAAGTCTGAAATAAATTTTATTTTTGTTAAAGGAACCCCTCCACCTGTCAATACAATAACTAAAGACGACGATCAACAACTTGAACTTGCCAATGAAAAGCGTGATCGTTTGTTAAAGCAAGTTCAGGCTGATGACTTGACGAGTAAATTTTTAATTGTTAATGTTCTTAAATGTTTTTTTTCTTTTTTTAGAGTTTGGAATTATCCCAGAATTGGTTGGCAGATTCCCAATTAGAGTACCATTCACCAGTCTTGATAAAGAAAGTCTAAAACGTGTATTAACTGAACCAAAGAATTCAATGCTTGCCCAAGAACAAACTTTCTTCAAAATGCATGGGGTATGTGTAAATATTTTTTGAAGATTATTTTAAGTCGAACATGGGTAGAGGTTCATCCTTTATTTGTTGGGGTAATACTTACATTTTTAGACCCAGTTTTCGTTCTTTTGTGAAAGAAAAAGGACTTATCTTTTTCTAAATACTAGTTTTTAGGCCGGGAATTATTGTAAGGTGGACATTGGGCTTCCCTTTAGGGATTCCGTAATGGAGTCTCTTAATTTGCTAATAGGAGTGACCCACCCCAGAACGTTCCACAAAATAGGTGGCTGTGTTGCTTTGTGGGTTGAATAGGCATATGAGTTTAAAAAGGCCTGCTAATTTAATTTCAGATTCTGAATTCTTTTAATATAATCTCTCAATTTTTTTCAGGTCAAATTAGAGATTACAGATGACGCATTAGACGAAATGGCCCAAATGGCATTAAAAGGCAGAGTTGGGGCACGTGCTCTAATGTCCATTCTATATAATGTCTTATGGGAAGCAAAATATAATTTGCCTGGTTCTGATTATGATACAGGTTTATTTTGGGAGTTTTTCGAACCAAAAAATTTTTTTTCTTCAAGTTCAAATCACTGGTTCAGCAGTTCGCGGTGAAGGACCACCATACGAGGTAACACATAAAGAGGCATCGACAGCAGCAACAGGATCAGCGTCAAATAACACATCAGCAGAATATTCAAACTCACAACGGCAGCATCAACAACATCAGGTTTTGTCATCACCGGCACAGATTGCTGTTTAAAAATTGTTTTCATCAAAATATTCTAGGAAGGAAAAATTGTTCGAGGAATTGGTGGTGGTGAACATAATAATAAAACTATTGGATGAGAGGAGAAAGCTGTGTGAATAATAAAAAAAACTCGAACAACAACAACGAAGGATGCGGCTCGTAAAAATTAAATATAAATGATTTTTTGGGTATGAGTTTTTGTATAATATTTTTGGGTGTTTGTACCTCTATATACGTATGGTGTGCCGCAAGCTTGTCTCTCCCTCTCCTATTTTTTTTCTAAATTGTGGGATTTGTGGAATAAGCTTTGAACAAAATTTGGGATTTTTTTTAAATTTAACAGCGAATTTTTTTTTACAAAAAAATTTTTTTTGAAAGACGAAAAGTGACATTTGATCCCAAAGTTAAAAAATTTTTTTAACTAAACAAGAAAATTATTCCACAATTCTTAAATAAATTTAAAATATTATCAAAAGACTAATAGGAAAATTGGGGGATTTTTGTCGATGTTTTTGGGTCTTTTAGAAGAATTTTTTGGACCTCTCGAATTTTCCTTATTAGTCAAATTTTAGAAAAACTGCCTCCAGATGTGTAAATATACAATAAAGTGCAGTTTCAAAATTATAAAAGCAAGCATTTTTTGGTTTTACCTTTTCCGGTTTACCCTTTCCCGGTTTTTTTGAAGCAACCGGGAACGGGAATTCCCGGTTTTCCCAGTTCGAGTCCCTCCCGGTCAACTTTCAGAACCCGTTTCCCTGACCCGGTTATTTTTATACCTGGAAAAATTCTAGCAGCGAATTGTAAAATTTTCTCAAAATTTTCGCCTGCGGCGCTGAAAATGGATGAACAACATTCAAAAAAGGAGTTAAAATCGCAACAACTTCTCTATATCGTTTTCATATATCTTTTCTGTCAGAAGACGCATGCGATATTTATGTATGTAAACCTAGCACAATGACACTAAAAAGAAAATCTTTAACCCGACCAGAATCCGGTCTTTTTATCATTAAAAGATATTATAGGAGGGACCTTTAGCGGTGGATAATTGCCTTTGCTGGTATCCATAAAAGAGCCTAAAACTTAAAGGATATACCAAAGGTTAGCTTCCGGAAAAAATATTAGCTTCCGGAAAATATAGGAAATGGTGTAATAGAATATTTTCCGGAAAAAGTTCTAATTTTGAATTTAAATAAAAATACAAAAAGCATCCGGAAAATAGTATTTGTATTTCCGGAAAAAGATATATTAAAAATATCACTAACCTCCAGCCAATTCCTTTTCTAGTTTCTCTGTCCTATTTGGAGACGATCTAGCACTATTACCTTCTCCGTCATTATTATGTAATGATTCAAAAACATTAGAAACATTGTTTTGATTAATTTCTGCTAATAAATGTCGACAAACTACGATTATTGCAACATAATTATTTTCTATAATTAAAGGAGAAGAAGAGGAGGAAGACAAATCAATTCCGACAAGTATGTGTTTCAACAATTTTGGTAAATAAATTGGACGGATATCTTCGTTCATATCTAATTGAACGTTTTTTAACGAATAGAGAATCATCTGAAAAAAAATTTAAATTAAAATATTATAGTAAAGGAGCAGTAAAAATTTAGCCATGGGAAGTCAAAGATCCCGAGCAAGGCTGGACGGAATTTAAAAAGAATTTCCACATTCTCTATTCGTTAAAAAACGTTCAATTAGATATGAACGAAGATATCCGTCCAATTTATTTACAGAAATTGTTGAAACACATGCTTGTCGGAATTGATTTGTCTTCCTCCTCTTCTTCTCCTTTAATTATAGAAAATAATTATGTTGCAATAATCGTAGTTTGTCGACATTTATTAGCAGAAATTAATCAAAACAATGTTTCTAATGTTTTTGAATCATTACATAATAATGAAGGAGAAGGTAATAGTGCTAGATCGTCTCCAAATAGGACAGAGAAACTAGAAAAGGAATTAGCTGGAGGTTAGTGATATTTTTAATATATCTTTTTCCGGAAATACAAATACTATTTTCCGGATGCTTTTTGTATTTTTATTTAAATTCAAAATTAGAACTTTTTCCGGAAAATATTCTATTACACCATTTCCTATATTTTCCGGAAAGAATAATGATTCAGTAAATTTAGTTAAAAATGGACAGGGGAGTTTGAGGGAAAATCTGGGAGGAAAGAAGGAGTTGTGTTGGATACTTCTAAACTTTTTCTAGAAGTCGGTTTAACTTATAGAAACATTGTGGATGTTACAAAATTTGTCCGAAAATTAAAATTTTCATATTTTTCATTCCAGACTGAAATTTTCTGTAAACATGCTAAATTTCATTCTTTAGAAAAATTTTACTCATGAGATAAATACATTTGAGATAAATACATACATATGGGTACCAAATTTGGAATGTTCATTTTTTTGTTCCTTCTCCTTTGATATATTTTTTAAGTTTTAGGCTCTTTTATGATACCAGGAAAAGCAATTATCCACAGCTAAAGATCCCCTCCTATAATATCGTTTAATGATATTTAAGTTTGATGAAACTCTTTGAAACTTTCATGATCCTAATATTCATAGAATATTTAAAAATAGAAAAAATTTGGACTTAATCGGTACACAGGAAGTAAGAGTAACACCAAAAAATGCTTTCTCTTATAATTTTGAAACACACTTTATTAAAAAAATTTTTTCCTTTCCTTTTTTGTTATGTTCGCCAAATCTAGAGAGATCCTCTAAAAAATATCAAAATCATTTTTTTCCACTCATTTTTTCTTTCCTTTTTTAGTGATTTGTGTATCCTCTCCTCCTCTTCCTTAATATTAGACCTAATATCTTTCCTTCCTTTTTAATTTTTCCCCTCACCAAAAAAATTTCTCTCCTCAATTTTTTTAGTATTCTCACTGTCAACGGATATATATAAATAAATATATAAATATGTATTAGTTAATATAAAACAAAAAATGTTTCGGTGAATTTGTCGCAAGATGTTAGGTTGTATTATTTTTTGTATAAAGAATAAAAATTGTGAATTAAAAAATATTTTATCGGGTTTATCAGTAATTTTTACTGTGTTTAATATTTTACAATTCCTAAAAATTTCTGAAAGTTAAAATGTTTTTCTGAAATTTTAAAAATTGGCTTAACTTTAGAAATTTTGTGGAATAGGGTAAGGAATGGTCTCAGACCCTGTGGGCGTAGGAAATGTTTTGGAACCATACCTCGACTTTGCAACATCAGGAAAAATCCGAGCCGAAAAATGTTCCTAGGAATTTTTATAAAAAAATTTTTCGTCAACCGAGAATACCCTATACATATGTATTTTGTAGAACAAAGAAACAAGGGGCTGTTTTTATTAAGCAGTGTTAAAAATTTACCTAATTTTGAAACCAAAATAAAATTAGGAAATTTCTGTATTAATCATTTTTCCTTAAAGTTACGTCATTTTTCTTTAAATACTTTGGTTTGGAAGAGTTTTTGATCAAAAAAATGTGGGGTATTCTCGTTTGAAAAATTGTTCTCTCGTTTATCAAAAATAGTTTATGACCTTGGAGTTTGCATATGACTATGGAGTGTTTATTTGGCAAATATATAAAAGAACATGTGGGTCATTCGAAAATTGTTTGAGTTAATTATTTATATTTCAAAACCTAGGAAGTATTTTGTCTTAAAAAATTTTTTTAAGAAAATTCTAAAATGTTCTTTCAGGGTAGGGGTCATTGGGTCGCACCTAGGGATGCCAAAATGGCCTGACTCGGACCGAAAGATCGGGTCGGGCCTAGATGTTTGGCCCGAAAAAGACTCGTACCGGCCCGGCTCAATAAAAACAAGCCCGAAAAAATGCCTCGACCGTCGGCCCGGTCCGAAAAACAGCAACCCTTGTCCCGCCGGTTGTGTCCCGAAGCCATATTTTGGGCCATAACCTTTTTGGGGTTTCAACTGATTCGAATAAATCTCTTATCATTCGAAAGCTCTGGATGTAAGGATTATTTTCATCGACTAGATTGATTTGATCAGATCACCCTACAAAAAGTTGCATCTGGATAAGTACGCGCAATCGTGATTTTTGATCTTTATTAGGCTAACTTTTTGTAGGTTGATCTTATCAGATTTATCCTGCTAGATTAAAAATCCTTACGTCAAGAGCTTTCGATTGATATATTAATTATCTAAATCGGTTAAGAATTGAAAAAGTTATGGCTCCGGGACTCAATGATGCTGTCCGGGTTTTCGCGATTTTTTCCGATTCTTGATGTCGAAATGTCACTTTTTGTACTATGTGACATTTTTGGGGTTGGCCAAATGTCGTTTGCTCTATATCCTCTTGATGTCGAAATGTCACTTTTTGTACTATGTGACATTTTTTGGCCTGGCTAATTGTCGCTTTGTCTTTATCTTCCGTTTTGTCTTTAAAATAAAATTTAAAAAATTTTTCGAAACGAAAACTTGCAGAGTTTGCCATATTTCTCTAACCTTAACAATATTTTCTTAAAGCATTTCCGCGAATTACAAAGAAATTATTTTTGGAGTAAATTTTCTCTCTTCAACTATTTCTAGGTATAATTTTGTCTTTTTTTTCCCTTTAAATAAAAAAAAGTTTTTGTACCTATATTCGTTATGTGTGCGCATGTTCAATTTTTTAAGAAATAGATTTATCGCAATCGCTGCTTCCTCTAATTATTTTGGAGGTGAAGAAAGACTAGTAGAAGTAATTCAACAGCAAAAACAACAGAAGAGACATTTGGTCCCACCTACTTCCGGTGTTAATAAAAAAGAAGAAGAAAAGAGTGTGGAAAGTGTTTCTTCTTCTAACTCGTATCAACAACAAAAACAACAAAAATTAAATAAAATGACAGAAATAAATACTTCAATTGACTCTAATTTAATGGATGAAAAATATTTTTTAAACAAATTTGATGAATACGAGAAGGAAGATAGTTGGGATAAAGTTTTCTCGGTTTGTTTAAGTTTTTGTAGAGGAAGGGAGGGGTTTAATTAATATTTTTGTTTACGTTCGTCAACTTTCTTGTTCCCCTTTTTTCACTTTCATTTATTCTAGAGGGTGTTTTAATGTTAAGGGGGGTGTCAGGGATGGGCCCTTTCGCATGCAGTAAGAGCTATGTCTAGACCTCAATCTTAAGAATAGAGTACGAATAATGTAGAGATCAAGCTGGGTCTGGACCAGTGTCTGGGGTTTTACTGTGCCCAGAAGTCCAGGCATTTTTTGACCTTCCTGGGTTCTTCCTGGACAGGCTCAGGACCCGATCCAGATCAATAAATCAAACCCAGAGCCCAGGAACAGGCCCAGGCTTTTCAAAAATCTCGATCTCTCTAGTCTAATTTTGGCGTTAGTCCTTTTTCACTTTCATTTATTCTAGAAGGCTTGAATGTTTAGCAAGGAGCTAAAAAAACTAAAAACAGATTTGTCAAACCATGTGTAACTAGTAGTAGTACCCCGAATCCTGAGGGCACGTTTTTCGACTGACAGAATAACACCCACAATTTATTGTCAGTCATACTCCAACGCACCCCGAAAAACGCGCCCTCAGGATTCGGGGTGCAACCCTAGTAACTACTCATATTTGGGAATAAATGAAAGTGAAAAAGAGTAAGGAATGACAATAATCAACATTTTTTTATATTTTAGAAAGTAAACTCAGAATCAGACAGTCAAGCAAAAAAGTTGAGTTTATGTTGCAATCTTTCAAACAATTTTCATGAAAAGAATAGATACAGAAATGTGTTGCCTTGTAAGTTTTTTTGTTAAATAGGCTCTCGAGGGTCCAGGCTGTCCCTTAACTCTAAAAGAAAGGGGGTTTTAAATTCTAGGTTTCGACTCAAGGGTAATCCTTAAAGGTGACATTTGATCCCCATTTATGATTTTAGGATGAATCAGCTCTCATAAGTCGTTGATACCCTAGGCTTGTGGAAGTTTTTTTTTCACATGACTTTACAATAGGATGGTCCTAACGTCGTTATAACCCAATAAAAATAGAGACCTCTCCTCAACTTCAAGTTTTGTCCGCAAAACAAATCCGCAAAAATTTCCTTTTATTCAATTTCAAAATTTTTTTCAGATGACCAAAACAGGATAAAGCTTCAAAGCGCTTCTTCAGAGCACGAAGCTTATATTAATGCCTCTCCGTTGGAGTTACCTTTCGCTAAGCGAAATTATATATTGACTCAAGGACCTTTGCCAAACACTACGGGAGATTTTTGGCAAATGATTTATGAACAGAACGGTTTTTTTTTTGAAATTTTTTTTAAAATAATTTTTTGTTTTCTTTTTAAGTTTCAATTTGTATTATGCTCAGTAAAGTTATGGAAAAGAGCTTTGTCAAGTTTGTTTTTTTTAATTTTTTGGGGTTGTGGGGGGGGGGGGTTAATTTCTAATTTTGGTCACTTTTATTCTCTATCGATCTTCGTTTCTCCCTTGTTTTTTAACTTTTAGATATCTAACTGACAAGGAACCATCGTTTACTGTGAGTGCGAATTTGATATATTTTCTGATACCATCCGGTAGAGGACCCTTGACTTCCTATTGGGTTGTAATGTCCGGCAAAATGACTTTGGGACAAGTTATGGCAGTTCAGTTACGATGGTTCCTTGTGAGAACTCCATAAGTTTTTAAGAATAAGGGAGAAACGGGAAATATGTATGTAACGGACAGGTTAACCTTTACGATTTTGAATTTTTATTTTGAAGGACATAATGTCTGAAAATTAAATATAAATTTCTATTTTTGCAATTAAAAATTTCAGTTTTTGGGTTAATTTTCTCACTGTTTTATTGGTAGAAAAAATGTGAGATTTGAAAAGTTGAAAATAAAATATATGGGGACTTATTCGTTTTTGCAGAAAAAAGTCCGCAAGTTTATTGCGGACTTTGAGAACCTACCCGAGAAGGAACCTAATTTTTTTCTAAATTTTTACGAAAAATTATTTAGGTGTCACTCATATTTTCCTCACAAAGACTCCCCCAAATCAAAATTTGACCGTTTTGAATGTCTACTTGAACATGAAGAAATTCGCCCAAATTATATTATTCGTCGAATTTGTTTGAAACCTTTAGACTCTTTTAAACAAAATAAGAAGGCAGCAACAAATAATTTTGTGACCCCAAGTAATTCACCTACAAAATCTGTTGGAAGTGATGAAAGTGGTGGGGATGGAGGTGAAAATATTGGAACGACTAATTTGGATAATAGTGAAGATAAATCGAGGATAATTCATCATTTTCAGGTTTTTTTTTGAAATTTTTTTTGAGATTGGAAATCGAGGTTTGGGAATCGGGTCAATCTCGAACTGACACATGAATTGAAAACCCGAAGATTTTTGATTAGCCGAAAATTTCGTCACCCAAAATTAAAAATTTAGGGCGAATTTTTTGGGTGAATTTTTTCAATTTGAGTGAATTTTCACCCCAAAATCACCCCAAAAATTAAATCGTCACCCTTAATTAGTTTATGAGTGATAATTGAATTATCCTGCCTAGATTCCCGAAGATTTTTGAGTGAATCATGCTGTCCCGTTTCATGAAGATTTTTGAGGTTTTTCGAGGGAACTCACACCCTTCTTAATTTCAATTTGTCGAAAGGTCCGTAATTTCTAATTTTAAGCCTTTTTTTTTAATTTTTATGGAAGAAGGCTTTTGTTTATTATTTTTTGCCTGTGCTCAATCCAGTCAAAAAATTTTTCTATTTTTTTTTTAAGTTTACAACCTGGCCAGACTTTGGTGTTCCAGAAGACACAGACCAATTTTTAGAATTTTTGGAAGAAGTTAGACGAACTCGTGAAATGATATTGACTACTCCTAATCAAAAGGAAATTATTTCGTTGGAAGCTGAAGGTTCTTCTCAATCAAACAATCCACCAATTGTTTGTCATTGCAGTGTTTGTTTTTTTTTTTTTTTTAATTTTTTTGAAAGAATGGGTTGGGGTGGATCTCTTCTTCTTAAGAGGTATAGCAAGGGCGTAGCTGGGGGTCATTTTTATGAGGGGGGGGGGTTTCAAATTTTTTCCTTTTCCTCCATTTCGAGGGGGAGGGGGTAACTCCAGAAGTCCCCTGGCTACGCCCTTGTATTGGATATTGAATGTAAATTATATTGTCTATCTGCCATAAATCAGGGATGTCACGGGTTAACCTAAACCCGAAACTGGGTGTTTTTTCGACCCGAAACCCGACCCGAGAAATTTTCTATTTCCCTGCCATAGATTTATTTGGGTTGCCCGAAACACACAAACCTCTTCAAACCGACACCCGATCTGAAAAAAATTTATAACTCATGACTCGAGACTGGTTATGTTTTCTCTAGGAAAAGACTTTGTTTTATTTTAAAAAGGGAACCTCTTATTGTGTTAAATTTAAAAATTTTTTTCTCTTAAATTTAAGGCAGGAATTGGAAGAACTGGAACATTTGTAATTGTTGACAGTGTCCTGAGCATGATTGAAATGAATCGAATTAATAAACAAAATTTGCCGAATTTGGAGGTTTTTTTTTAATTTTTTTGAATTTTTCAAATTAATTTTAAAAGAATAATAATGGAGCCACAAACAACAACAGCCAAATTTTGACTTTAAATAAAGAAGAAGGTGCAAAACAATCACAAAAACACAAACAAAATTTAAATTCTTTAGAATCTTTAGTTGTTTTTATACGAAAGGTTTTTTTTTTTGAATTTTTTAACTGAAAAAATTTTTGTTTTAGCATCGAATGGGTTTAATTCAAACACCTCAACAACTTCGATTTTGTTGGAAAACGATTGTTGGTTAGTTTTTTTTAATTTTTTTTGATTGATTTTTATTTGAAATTGGCCCTATCCCAAAAAAAGCTTGGAGTATTTAAATGTCCCATTATTCCGTTTTAACGTTGATTTTTGACCTTGATTTTTAATTTTCGAAATTTTATTTCTGAAAATTTTTGATTTTGAATTTTTTTAAAAATTCAAAATTTTGGGGTTGGAAAAAATTTTTTAAAAAATTTCAAAAAAAAATTTTGAAAATTTATTCTTGAAAAATTTTCTGTTAATAGTAAAACGTTAGAGAACTTGCAAGGGATAGCTGTAATTTTTGAATATAAAATTTTTTAATCATTCTTAAAATTAGAAACCGGACTAGGAGGGTCGTTCGAAATCGATACTTAAAAAAATTTTTTATTCCGAATAATAATTTCCAAAATACATTTTTTTGAAAATTTTTTTATTTCCAAAATTTACAATAATAATTTCCAAAAAATTTTTTAAAAAATATTTTTAGATTGGATAAACAAACAGCAAAAACCACAACAACAATTTCCATTATCTCCAAAATCACCACTACCTACAGCTACAACAACTACATCTCCACCGCCAAATAATGGACGTTCTTCCTTTTCTCCACCATCATCGTTTAAAAATAATTTTTCTCCTCCTCAACCAACATCTCCATTACTTCCTTCTTTAATACATGGATCAACCACCACCACAAACACAACAACTTTATTAAATATTACAACAACAATATCATCATCTTCACCATTATCTTCACCTTTACATCAACAACAACAGCCAACATTAATTACAAGTACAACAACAACAACTCCAACAAAATCTCCAACAAAAAATTCTTCTTTAATTTCTCCCAAAAACAATCAAAAAGAAGTTGTTAAAGAAGACAATGAAGATGGAGAGGATGACGATGAAAGAATGAGTACAAGTACAAGTCGTGGTGGTTCTTCTTCACACCTCAGTTTGGTATTATCCTCTTCTGATAATTTTATGTATTAAAAAAGTTGACATTTTGACCCCCTTTTTAAAGTAAAAAAATTTTAAAAATTAAAAAACGTATTTCTCTAATTATATATTTTGTATTTTTCTTTTTTTATATGTTTAGTGAGGTTAGAAATTAAATGTCTGTTCCGGAATTTCTCTCCTATATAAAATATATGTATTTTCTCTTATATTTTTCCGTCAAAAGTAGAGAAATAGTACACAATCTTTTTTTCTCTTTTCCGTGTGTTTTTTTCAGAATCCGGACTAGGGTTGGTCCCCGACGAGGGGGGGGGGGAGGGCCACAGGGAGAGCTTTTCGGGGAGGCAGCGCCGGGGGACGGGGGAGGGGGAATTTTTTTACGGGGGGGGGGGCGGGGACGGGGAACAATTTTTACGGGGAAATTTCGGGGAATTAAAAAATTTGTTTGCCCCTTCGGTGCCTAAAATTTCCTTTTTTTACGCTGCAAGCGCAAATTTTAAGAATTTGCGTCTTCCATTTTTTTGCGCCGCAGGTGAAAAATCTAGGTTTTTGAAGTTCAAAAACTTTACAATAAGAAAATGTTTACTTTAGAATTTCTCAAATACGACAATCTTTTGGGAACGAATTAATCTTGAAAGTATTTAAAAGAAGTTTAATGGGAAGGACGTCGTAATTGAGAGATCTTATTTTCTCTAGGGATCGGAAAAATAAAAAATAAAAGGTAATATACATTTTCCGGAACAGACATTTTTCTCTACCTTTCACTAAAAATTTTTTTTCTTTCTCTCAATTAATTTTATGTGTAGCTACATTGTATGAATTTATATATGTACTATACTCTATTTTTGACGAATAAAGCATTTTGTTGGTATTAAAAAATTTTTTTGATATTTGTTTGAAATTTTCAAAAAAATTATTTTTAAATTTAAAAAATTTTTAAAAAATTTTTTTAAGAATTTTTTGTCTTTAAAAATTATAAATTATGTCAATTCAAAGCAATAATAATATCAATTCAAATGATGATAGTACGGGTAATATTAGTGAACAAGTTTCTCTATTGTCAAGTTCTTCAACTGAATCGAGGTGAGGAGGAGATTTCTTTTTCGTTAAAAATTAATTTAATAATTTATTTGGGCATGGAATACAAGATACCATAAATGCTTTAATTAAAGCCCGGCGCTATTAGAAGCCCGTATCTAATACAAGCCCACCCAGTTAACCTCATCGCAAAATAAACGCCCATTCCCTAATAGAAGCCCATATTTAATATAAGATTGACCCATTGAAGAATAGACGCCCAGGGCTTTAATTAGAGCATTATGGTAATCTAAAATTAAATACAGCTCAATTTAGTATTTTAATTTGATTAACCTCTGGAAGAGGAGGGGAAGCTACCAATCTTTCCTTTTATTTAAGTTATAAGTAAGGCTGTGATTTATAGGCAAATGCCTATTTTTTCTGCAAGCTTGGGATGATGTAATACGTTCAAAAAACGTGTTTTTAGCTTGGTCCGATAAGTCTAGTATGACTTTTAATTTGCCTATTTCTGCCTATTTTTGACTTTTTATGCCTTTCTGCCTATTTTGAAATTTTTGGTACTATTTTTGCCTTTTTTGCGATTTTTTCGAAATTTTGCCTAAAAATCAGTGCAAAATCTAAAAAAATCAGTCCCAAATTAGAAAAAATCACTGCCAAGTCCCATTATTGATTTTTAGTTCGTTAAATTGTTTATTTTTACTCTGTTGGACATTTTGAACAGGGACGATTTGGTTTTGGGACGTTTTGGGGTGCGACGTTTTGTGTGTTGGGCGAGATTTCCATTTTGTCAATTATCGACATTTAAAAAAATTTACTCCATTTTTTCAAAAAATGATTCAAAATGACGAATAAATGGTAAAATTGTTTAAAAAATAGTTTTTAATTTAAAAAATGACGATTAAATGGTTATTTTTTCAGTTTTTATCTCCATTTTATGGTCTAATAACCTTTTTTACATGCCTATTTTTGTGCCTTTTTCGGCTTTTTGGTGCCTATTTTAGGCGCCTATTTCACTGATTTTACTTGCCTAACTATCACAGCCTTAGTTATAAGCTACAATTTTTGGGTACAGCCCGGCGCGCAGCAAAGTAGACGCAATGCCATAACTTGCTTCAGGATTGCCGAATCTTTCAAAATTTAGTATTAAACGATTCCTCTCATCTAGCTAAAGAGATTGGTACCAAAATTGTTAAGGTACAGAAATCTTCCAGCAAGTTATGGCTTTGCGTCTACTTGGCCGCGCGCATACTTGAGCGTGTCCCGATTTTTTCCACCGCAAGTTTTATCTTTTATAGTTAGGCCAGGGGGCTATTTTTATCTAAAATCAATGCGCGTTTTAAATCTATTTTTCAAAATATTTTTTAAAGTACGGGGGCAAAAAGGGGGAAATGACGCGCGTTTAAAATTACACAAAAATTAATCAATTAATTTTTTAAACTAAAAAATTTTTTCTTTTATCGTTTTCGTTTTTTCTTTAATCATTTTATTACGTTTTCTCGCGCGCACTCAAATTTATTATCCAAATTATCACCTTTTATTGGAGAATTTCAATACAAGTTTGGGGTTAATTAATTATTAGGCTTGATTAGATATTTTTCAATATTTGGTTTCGATATTATATATATATCGAAAAATATCGGCCGACCCCTCCATCCGGGCTCTTGAAAAACTGGAAACCCAGACGAAATTTCGAATAAAAATCTTAGGTATAAAGATTTTTTGACCATTCTGATCCATTCTGATCTACATATCAGAAAATTATGTCGATTTGCTACTTTTAGCTAGTAGGGTTTCTTTTTAATAGAGGCAGGTTGTGAATATTAAAAGGTGTCAGAAATTGGAGGAAAAACACTCCAAATTAATATTTATTTTTCAAATTAAATCTTTAATGATTTGTACTGAAAAGAATGTTTTTTTCTTCATGAAACTAAAAATAATTAATTTTAAAAAGATGGGAGAAAAAAGATAAAAAGAGCATAGAAAATACGTTCATTTTTAAATGATTAATTAAACAAAAATAATCATTAAATATACTTATATTTTCTATTTCCGGGCAAATATAAAACTAGTGTAACAAAATAAAGGAAAAATTTTTATATTAAAAAATAGGGACTAATAATATTTTACAATTTAAATTTTGCGTCTTTAAATTGCAGTTTAAGGGAGCAGGCCAACGTACCGCGAGCCCAACGTACCACAGAGCTATAACTTCGTTCAAAATAGCCGAATCTGGGTAGCCTTGGTATGGTTTGATGCATCTCGACGAGCCGAATCGAACCATATTAGGGCGTCTCGGATTCGAGTATTTTGAACGAACTTATAGCTATACGGTACGTTGGCCTGGCGGTACGTCGGGGTGTACCCGCGTCATAAACTTTAGCATCATAAACCCCCATAAACGGGCTGAGAAAAAAGCCGAGTCGTTCAAAATTTTTCTCGGATCGGATTTCGGGTCGAAAAAAAGTTAATATCTCGGGTCGTCCCATCCCATAATTATAACTTCACCTACAGAAATCATATTAGAAATACTTGAAAAAATTCTTAAAAAATTCCTGTGTTCTAAGGGTGTTAAAATATTTTTAAAGTACTGTAACCTCTATTTCCCGTTGATTTTCGGGATTTCGGATCTCGATGAATAAACCACTTACAGACTTTGTTTCTTTTGATTTTCTACTCAAGTCGATGGAAATGTTCACGGGAATTTTTAAAGAATTTTTCCAGCATTCCTAAGACGATTTCTTTAGGTGAGGTTATAATTATGTGGTATACTGTATTATATTTCATTTTATTTATAATTTTTTAGACGCGAAACTGTTGAAAGAATCAAACGTGGTTTACGTGCATGTGAGCAGAGCAGAAATTTACGCTTGAAATTTTTTGGGTTTTTATTAGAAAATTGGCAAAGTTTGGCTTTTGGAGGTACTGGAATATTTGCAATTCTTTCTGTTTTAATTTATCTTTGGTTGAATAGATGAGGGAAATTGTGATAATAATTATGATGAATATTTTGTTTTAATTATATTTTATGTAATCTCGTTATAAATGTAAGCCCCTGGGGCTGGAAAATTTTTATGGAAATTTTTTTGGGCTGGAAAACTGTAACGAGATTTTAAAAAGAATTTTAAATAAGATCTCTTTAGTCATTTGTGTTATTCTAATTTTATATTTATTTTTGGGTACATAAATACTTTTTTTTTTGGAATTTTACCAATTATTTTTTGAATTCTTATGTAAACAAAATTAATATTGTCAAAAAATTTTTGATAAAACATTTGAAATTTGGCCCTGAGGATCCAAGAAGCCAGAATTTATTCATTTTTAGTACTGCCACTCAAAAGCGAAACTGTTGAAAGAATCAAACGTGGTTTACGTGCATGTGAGCAGAGCAGAAAAAGGGTGAGTGAAAACTAGCTCTTTTTTATGATTATTTATCGTTATTCGACGCTATAAGTTTTAATAATTGAGACTAGTGGACTAATAACGACTTTTCCTAAAATTTAAAAAAAGATATTACCAAAGTGTGAGTGAAAACTAGCTCTTTTTTATGATTATTTATCAAAGAAAACACGAACAGATGGCGAATCGTGAGTAAGAAAAGCGTCACCAGTCAATAGACACAATCATTGCAGAAAAATAAGTTTTAAAGTTTATCTTACAAAAAAATAACCTTACATTTTTCAGTTGTCTTGAGAGTACCTTCAACACATTTTTGAGTAAATTCAAGTCCAACAAACCAGAATCGACTTTAAAAAAATAGGTATTCTAGAAAATTTTATAAAATTTAAACGAACCATTCTCCTTTTCGACTAATTCCATAACTTTGGCCATCGTTTTCTGATATTGTTCACGTCCCATACTTTTAATTGGTCAACCTGGTAGGATAAATGTTGTGTCTCTGCACAACAAGAAATAAGCAATACAATAATGTGTTTATCGCACAAGAAATACAATAGTGTTGAAGAAGTAGAATAATGTTGGGGTAATATTTAGGAGAATTA